AGGGGTGAGTCTGCCCTTGGCTGTGACGCCCTAGAGGACAGGCAGTTTGAACTGGAGTTCCTGGCAGCCGCTTCCCCTCATCTCTGTGCCATGCTGCTCGCCCGTGAGGGAGACCCTGACGCCCTTGACATACCGACTCCTCGCACTTACGTTGAGGCAGTGTCATGGCCTTGGGCCTCTCAGTGGAGAGCTGCCATGGACTCAGAGATGGCCTCCTACAAATCCACAGGCACCTACGTCGGCGAGGTTCCCCCCCTTGAGGCGAACGTAGTCGATGGCATGTGGATCTTCAGGATGAAGCGGCCACCGGGATCTCCACCGGTCTTCAAGGCGCGCTATGTGGCCACAGGCTTCAGTCAGCGCGAGGGAGTTGACTTCTTTCAGACCTTCGCGCCTACCCCGAAGATGACCACTCTTCGGGTGTTACTGCACGTAGCAGCACAGAGAGACTACGAGTTACACTCTCTTGACTTCTCCACTGCTTTCCTTCAGGGTAGCCTACATGAGGAGGTCTGGTTGCGTCGTCCCTCTGCCTTCACTGGCAATTTCCCTCCTGGGACCCAGTGGAGGCTTAGGCGACGGGTACGGTCTTCGGCAGGCTCCTCGTGAGTGGCACGACACCCTTCGCTCTACCCTTTCTAACCTTGGTTTCCAGCCTTCTTCTGCCGACCCGTCGATGTTCGTTCGTCGTGGCTCCACACCGTTCTTTGTACTGGTCTACGTCGACGACTTGGTTTTCGCCACTGCTGACAGGGTTGCTTTGGCTGACGTGAAGTCCGAACTGCAGAAGAGACACACTTGCACTGACCTTGGTGAGCTGCGCCACTACCTTGGCCTGCAGATCACCAGGGATAGAGCCGCTCGCACCATTACACTCTCACAGTCACACATGGTGCAGGGTCCTTCAGTGGTTCGAGCTTCAGCACTCTACTGTACAGCGCACACCTCTTGCCATTGACCACAGACTCACCGGACCCTTTCCTGACGAGGCGTTCAAGCCTAGTGGTCCTTACGCAGAGCTTGTGGGCTGCCTCATGTACCTGATGACTTGTACTCGCCCGGACCTCGCCTTCCCTCTCAGCATCCTTGCTCACTTTGTTGCGCCAGGGAGACACCGTCCAGTTCACTGGACAGCTCCTGTGAGGGTGGCGAAGTACCTAGCAACGACATCAGGCATGGGGCTGGTTGTTGGAGGGAGACATGACATCGTGCTTACTGGTCACTGTGACTCTTCTTACGCTGACGACGCCAAGATGCACAGGTCTACACAGGGGTACTGTTTCAGCCTGGGCTCTGGAGCTGTTTCATGGAGGTCCACGCGTTCCTCCTTGGTCTCGACCTCTACTGCTGAGGCCGAGATCTACGCTGGAGCTATGGCTGCACAGTAGCTGCGCTGGCTGACGTTCTTGCTCACTGACCTTGGTGAGCGGCCGAGCTCTGCGCCGACCTTGTTCACTGATAACAAGGCGACGATTCTCCTCTGTCGAGAGCCGCGACTGGAGAGCAGAGTGAAGCACATTAATGTCAGGTACTTTCTTCTGTGAGAGTTGCAGAGGCGTGGACAGGCTCGCTTCACCTTTGTTGAGTGCGAGGCCAACACTGCACACATCTTCACGAAGGCCCTGCCACCTTGTGACCACCAGAGGTGTTGTGTACAGTTAGGTTTCGTTGACACAGGTTCTTGCCTTGCATAGTCTTGAGTTCTCTCCTTGCTTTGTTTGTACACCTTACATATACCTCAGTGAACTCTTGAACTAGCCTTGTGGCTCTTTTTCTTGTGCTCGGAGTGTCTGGTGACGTTGTGATCCACCCTGAGCTTTGTTTCTTTGTGACTGGTCTTGTGACCGTACACTTTTGGTTTTGCTTGACACCCCTCACTTAGACTATGGTGTGAGAGAATTGACGAAAGAATGATTGAACTAGAAAGCAGAAGGGTACAAGTAGGAAACACAAAAGTGTTGTACCCTCTAAGGACTACCCCACTACAGCCTAAACAGACTATAGTAGATATAAGTTTGACACACCCCCATAGGCAAAGTGGGGGAGAACAAGGGGTCACAAGACCAGTCAAGAAAGACAAAGCAAGCTCAGGGTGGATCACAAAGTCACCACACAGTCTGAGCACAAGCAAAGGGCCATAAGGCCAGTTCACATGGAGAGTTATATAAAGGAAGGCAAACAATACAGTGGACACAACCTAGCAAGTGTAAGCATGTAGGTATAAGTATATAGAGTACAGTACAAGCAGAGTCAAGAAGTCAACAAGTGAGGCACAGTAGGTACAAGGCCTAACACAGTACAGAAACGCTGATGATCACAAGGCTGAAGTGCCTTGGTGAAAACATCAGCAGTGTTGGCCTGAGAGGCCACGTAAGCAAGACGAAGCTGGCCACCCTGCTGCAACTCTCGAGCAAGGAAGTAGCGCAGAGCAATGTGCTTCGTTCTGTGCTCCAGTCTGTGCTCCTGACACAAGGCCAGCATGGCCTTGTTGTCGACGTACAGAACTGGAGGAGAACGAGGCGCCTCTCCCAAGTCGGTTAGCAGGTAGGTGAGCCAGCGAAGCTCCTGTGCAGCCATGGCTCCAGCGTAGATCTCAGCCTCACAACTGGAGCTGAGAACAGAAGAAGAGCGGGTAGACCGCCAAGAGACAGAGCCGGAGCCAAGACTGAAGGTGTAACCCTGTGACGACCGCTGCGTAGCCAAGTCGTCAACCCAGGAGGCGTCAGCGTGACCAGTGAGGACAACTCGAGCCCGTCCTCCAAGCACAAGCCCCATGCCCGATGTACTGCACAAGTATCGCAACACCCTCTTCGCAACATCCTAGTGCACCTTTCGGTGCCTGCCGTGAGCCACGTAGCGAGCCAGAAGGCTGAGAGGGTATGCGAGGTCAGGTCGTGTGCAGGTCATCAGGTACATGAGGCAGCCCACAAGCTCTGGATACGGGCCACTCGGCTCTACGGACTCGTCCGAAGGTGGAGCTGAGAGCGAGTGACCGGTAGGCAGAGCAGTGGACTGTGGCGAGGAGTACGTGAAGCCGAAGCGCTGAAGGACCTGCTGCACCATGTGTGACTGAGTCAAGGTAATGGTGCTCTGTCCCGGGTGATCCGTAAGCCAAGATAGCTTGTGAGCTCACCCAGGTCTGTGCACGTGTGTCTCTTCTGCAGCTCGGACTTCACGTGGGCAAGTGCCTCCGTGTCAGCAGTAGCAAAGACGAGGTCGTCTACGTACACTAGAACGTAGAACGTCGGCAGAGTAGCGTCAGTGCGTAGAAACAGAGAAGGGTCAGCAGTGGAAGGAGCAAAACCAAGAGCAGCAAGAGTCGTCCTGAGTGTGTCGTGCCACTCACGGGGCGCCTGGCGGAGACCGTAGACTGGCCGCCGGAGGCTCCACTGGGTACCAGCAGGAAACGACCCAGTGAAGCCAGGTGGGCGGCGCAGCCAGATCTCCTCGTGCAGGCTGCCCTGTAGGAAGGTTGTGCTGAAGTCAAGCGAGTGGAGCTCGTAGTCACGCTGAGCAGCAACGTGCAGCAGTACCCGACGAGTGGTCATCTTCGGGGTAGGGGAGAAGGTCTGGAAGAAGTCAACTCCCTGTCGCTGACTGAAGCCACGTGCAACGTAACGCGCCTTGAAGGCAGGCGGAGAACCCGGCGGCCGCTTCACCCTGAAGATCCACATGCCACTGACGATGTTCGCCCCAGGTGGGGGAACCTCGTCTACGTAGGTGCCTGTGGACTTCCAGGAAGCCATCTCTGCGTCCATGGCTGCCTGCCACTGAGAGGAGTAGGGACCCTCTATCGCCTCTGCGTAAGAGCGCGGGGTCGGGATGTCTAGTGCATCCGGGTCTCCCTCAGGGGCAAGCAGCATGGACACGAGATGAGGTACAGAAGCAGCAAAGCACTCAAACTCCTCCTGTCTGTCCTCAAGAACGTCCGTGCCAAGAGCGCACTCACCCCCGACGGACGGAGGACAGACAGACACAGACGCAGACTCAGCAACAAGACTAGTGGCGTAGTCTAGGCGACAGGCTGCAGCAAAGTCAACAAGCTCAGTAACAAGAGGAGACGCAGCAGAGGACTCAAACAGAGGGTCAGTGATAGCAGTGGCCAGAAAGCGCGTGACAGTAGGACTAGCAGCACGAAGGGAGTCAGACTCCAGATCCGGACCGTCAGGAGGAGAGGACGCAGGAGGAGAGGGCAGAGGGACACGCTGTGGAGCAGTAGAAGGACGCAGTGTCATAGAGTGAGTGCCAGGGACAGGAGGAAGACGCGGACGCGAAACACGACCAGCGCGAACAGAACGGACAGGCGACGCAGAACGAGACGCAGGCGACACAGGACGAGACTCAAGCTCACGACGCTGGCAGAACTTGGGTATCCTCAACCAGCCCCAACGCTTTGGTGTGACAACGAGAGCACCATTCATCTCACAAAGGACCCCGTCTTCCACGGCCGCACCAAGCACATTGAGGTCCGTCACTACTTTCTTCGTGAGCTGGTGCAGCGCGAGCAGCTGAAGGCTGAACACATTGCCTCCGACTGCAACCTTGCTGACTTGTTTACCAAGTCTCTTGTTCGCCAAGACCACTACCGCCTCCTCTCGTCCATGGGTGTTGGGCCGCCATGTGGCTGAAGTGTTGTCAGCCTAGGGGGTGTGTTAGAAATAGTCAGTCAACACTTTGTACTATATTCTATATCGGTTAGGTTACTTTGTAGGTTGGGTGTAGATTTGTAATCCCAACCCTATCTGGTTGGGATTCCCTCGTAATCCTGCAAATCTGCCAACTCACCAATTGGAGATTTGCTAGGATTCCCATCCCATCCTTTCCCTAGCTTTGCTCAACCCAACCCTGTTTGTACTTAAGGCCTAGTGCCTTCCTTATCAAGCAATCAGTTCAGTTCCAATTCTATCACCCCATGCGCGCTGCTCTGCGTGTGCCGCCCCGCGCTGCCCCGAGCGCTGCCGCACTGCCGCCCATGCCGCCACCCATGCTGCCCTGCTGCGCTACTGCTTGCGCAGCGCTTCCACGCTGCCGTCTATGCTGCCATCCTGCCACCTGCGCTGCAGCCTGACCTGCGGAACTACTTCCCGCGCCGCCACCTGCGCTGCAGCCCACGCACCGCCAGCTGCTGCCCCCTGCTGGCCCGCTGCTGCCCATGCGCCGCCCCGTGCTGCTGCTCGCTGTCCACTGCCATGCCGCCCACAGCCGTGCTGCCCGCCGCCGCACTGCCCCACAGAGCCGCGCCGCGCCACGCCGCGCTACCCTACCCACTGCCACTCCGCACCAAGTTGCCGCTCTGCCTGCTCCCGATCCGCTCACCTACTGCTGTGCTGTTCCCCGAGCTGCTGTCCGTGCCTAGATGTGCGGCTGGTTCCTAGTGTTGCTGTCTGACCTAGTTGCTACCGCGATTGTCACTGTCCTTACGTTTGACGCGGAGGCAACGACGATGCCTCGCTCTTTGAGCATACGTCCGGGTCCCTGAACACCCCAAAACCTCCAGTAGAGCCTGCCGCTGACGCTGCAGAGGATGTACAGAAGAAGTACCTCACTGACTGCCTTGCCTGCACGCAGTAGGCGGCACGTGACGCCACTGCTATACTTGCAGTTTGCACTCACCTCTCGCCCGACTAGAGGGCCCACTTTTGCCAGGTGAATTCGGCTCAGGTGTTCAATGCCGCTGTAGTTAAGCGCTACTCCTTCCCCTCCTCTGCCACCCTAGGACATCTTGCGCTGTTGTTTCTCTTCCCTGAGCTGTCAGACTTCACCACTGTAGCTGACCTCAGGACCCATCTGCGCTCCCTTGACACTCGCTACTGTGCTGCTCTCCCACCAGAGTTTCTGGCTGAGAACCAGCTCCCCATGTACCTCACTCTGTACTTCCTCATGACTCGCCTCCCTGACACTCTTCATGCCGTTCGAGACCACTTCTTCTCCCTATACCCCACTAGTTCCACCCTTGCCTCGTTTGACACTCGTCTCCTTGAGTCTGAAACTACTACCCGTGCTGTAACTGCCTCTCATGGCACCCCTAGCACCTCCTTCTTTGAGAGGTGCTCTCCCTCCCTTTTCGCGTCCTCTGTTGCCTCTGCTGCTGCCGTTGACTTCCTTGGTGATGAGGAGGTCGGTGCGGCATCCCCTCCAAGTGGGAGGCGCAACAAGGTTGGGCGTCAGAGGGGTAGAGGTGGTGGGGTGGGTGGAGATGGCCGAGGCGGTGGGGGCGGCGGGGGTGGTAGGGGTAGCAGGGGTGACGGAGGTGGCAGAGGAGGTGGGGTGTGTCAGAATATGTTGTATTTGTCTAGCCTGCAGTGGGGTACTCAATAGCGAGTACAGCCCAATTAGGGTTTGCTATATGTACTCAACTGCTTGCTAGTGAAACTCCCTTTCTCATTTCTAACTTCCTTCTGTTTCTCAACATGGAATCAGAGCAGGTCGACCCTCCTGGGTCGATCCTGTGCATGGGCCCACCATTGTCTTCTGCTGCTACACTACCTATTGCGCGCCTCAGGCGCGCACTGTCTTACTGTCTGCTGCGCGCCCATGGCGCGCGGCCCTTTTTCTTCTCGCCGCGTGCTCGAGTCGCGCGGCGGTTTTCTGCTCGTCGCGCCGCCCTGGGGGCCGCGCGACGCCCTGATTTGCCCGTCGTGCGCCCCGTGGCGCGCGACGGTGCCCTGCCCGTCGTGCGCCTCGGGGCGCACGGCGGTTTCGTCACCCGGGGGGGCTCGTGCGCGCCCCCCCCCCCCTTCGTCGCCTGTCGCGGCGCCAACAGGGGCCTGCGCGCCCCCCCCCCCCTTCGTCTCCCGTCGCGGCGCCAACGGGGGCCCGCGCGCCCCCCCCCCCCCCCCCCCCTTCGTCGCCCGTCGCGGCGCCAACGAGGGCCCGCGCGGCGCGCGGCCCCCCCCCAGGGTCGCCTCGACAGGCGACGGGAGGGGCGACTGACGGGGGCCACGCATCGGCCCCTCCTGTTTTCGTCGCGCCCCCCCCCCCCCCCCCCCCCCCCCCATCTCCGGCCCTGCCCTGTGTTAGGGTTTGGGGGTGGCGAGTGGGGGGTGGCGGGTGTGTGGCATCCCCTGCTCCTCCTCCTACTCCGTCTCCCACTGCTGCAGCTGCCGCTGAGGGGGGTGGGTGTGTGGGAGCCGACGGAGTGGTGCTAGGGGGTGGAATGTGAGTGAACCTAGGGGTGCAGCAGGGGGTGTGTGAAAGGGGGGTGAGACAGTTAGAGGATGTTGGGCGGAGGCAGCTGTCGTGTCGCCAGCAGCGCCAGTAGTCCGGAGGCTACAATCTCCGGTAGCCCAGCGAGCCTGCTGAGCCAGTCGCCAGTGGGTCCGTTGCTCCTGCAGCTCAGAGTTAGTCGCGGAGCCAGTTACCCCAGTAGTCCGGAGGCTACAATCTCTAGTAGCCACAGTGCGCGCCGCTCCTGTTGCCCGAGTGTCTGCAGCTTCACCTGTCGTCTCCTATCTCTTCTCCTCTCACAGTCCCTCCTCCTCCTCACTTGCCCTCTGTGATATCCTCTAGCTTTGCTTGCATTTGTGAACTATAAACTGCTACTTCTTGTACTTGTGCTCAGAATGTGTGGTGACATTGTGATCCACCCTGAGCTTGTTTTGCTTTGCCTGTTGTGCTGATTACACCCCACTTTGGCTATGGGGGTGTGTCAGAATATGTTGTATTTGTCTAGCCTGCAGTGGGGTACTCAATAGCGAGTACAGCCCAATTAGGGTTTGCTATATGTACTCAACTGCTTGCTAGTGAAACTCCCTTTCTCATTTCTAACTTCCTTCTATTTCTCAACAGGGTGGTGGTCGTGGTGGAGCTGGCGGGGGTGGTGGCACTGGTGCGGCATCTAGTGAAGCTGCAACTGGTGGAGTAGTAGGTGGAGGTGGCGGTTCCGAAGGTGGATTGCAGCAGCAGTAGCCACGTCAACAGGAGACTCCCTCGCGGCAGCAGCTTCGTGAGTGGGTGGCTCAGCGGGGCTCCACGGGTGGTGGTGGCTCTGCTACTGGTCCTTGCCCATACGTGCGTCGCACTGGCCCTCGGGCCGGCGACGCCTGCGGCAAGTTGGGGCACGGGGAGGCCCGTTGTTTCTACTGCGTCGAGGACACCTTCTGTGGCAAGTTCGATGTGTAGGCCAGGGTCGTTGACTGGTTAGGATTGCGTAGGAGGGGCGTTGATATCTTTTCGTTCGAATGGACCAAAATTTCCGTAGGTATGTATGGCATGTATTTGCTGGTGCTAGTGCTGAGGGTTACTATTATTCTTATGTCCCTAGGTCATTCTGTGAAGATGGTGCCATGGTTCGTGCATCAGCATGCACGCAAGATCCTCGGCGACGATGCGGTGGCCGAATTCGATGATCGAGTGCAAGAAGTGCACTCCAGCCGTGTTCGGTTCTTTCGCCGTGGCTCACTTTTCTGCCTGCCAGACGAACACACACATACAAAATGAGCCCTCGGTGGCATTTCGGCGTGGTTAGGGGGGATGGTAGTTGGCGTTTCTACAGTATGAATTGCTCACTTTGACCAGTTCCGCTTCCGCCCACGGAAAGATATGCTCGGCGATGAGGGCCACCACATTGTCGTCGGGCTTTATCAAGGTGCGGCCGAGGTGGTAGTCGCCGCCCTTGCCCGAGTAGCCGGCCTTTCTTAACACCGCCGCCTTCAGGATGGTCGTGATGTAGCTTTTCGCAAGCTTGTCGAGCGCCCAGTGGCCCAAGTCGGCGATGTCAGATCACGGAACTCCACCGTTGGCCAGCTCTTGTGCCCCACCTGCACGGGCGGCGTGGGTGTTGCGCGAGATGAAGATCTTGTTCGTGCGCCACATAACCTGCGTGATCCTCTGGTGGGAAGAAGCAGGCAGCTGTTTTTGTGTATTGTCATTCCGAGAATGAAAGAGGTGCTTATAGTACCACATGTACGGAGTGGTGAATTCAAGAGGCGGCACTTGGCGAGAGGTGGGCGAGCGGCTCAGCTGGTCGTAAAGGAAGTGCAGCCACAACAGTGTGTGACCGACGGCGCACATCTCTTGCTCCGGGTATCTCGCTGCGTAGCTGTGATGTAGACGAGCATCCTTGTTTGTCTTGGAGTTTTGTGAGGCGACCACCATGACAACCGGCCGTTGCGTGTAGTGGCCGGCCAACGTGCTGCCAATTTTGTACAAGAACAGGTCGGGCAGCTCGATCGCTCGGACGCTGGCTCCGCAGAGAAGGGTGTGGTGAGACAGGAGAGTCATCGTCTTCATCAGCAAGAAATTCCACAGCATCTGCGAGGGGGCCACCACCTTGGGCTCGTACGCCCGCGCAGCCCGGGTCGACAACACCTTGATTATGACGTGGCGGAACTGGTCGGTGGTCTACGTGTCTCCGAGAGTACCGCGGTGCCGATCGACGCAATCCCTGCGCACAGTTCCCACGAGGGCAGGGTTAGCTCAGCGGACAGGGAATTTGGCGAGAACCGCAGAACAGCGCGCCTGGATGGGGCAGAACAGTGATGTGGGGTGCATCTGGGAGCTCCTTCACCCCGAAAAGTGTCCCCTCAACTTTGCAGGCCATCTGGAGTGCTTTAATGCGCATGAGCAGCATCGAAACGGTGGCCGCCTTCAGGGGCTGGACACGGATGTCGGCGTTCAGGTCCTCGAGCTCCTCGGCCTTTGCAATACCCCCTTTCTTTGCGACTGACAGAACGTAGGCCTTGATCCGCGTGGCATTGACTTATGGACCGTACATCCAAAAATCCTCGCCCTTAGTGGTGTGCCACTCATTGCCCATGTCGTGTTCGGTGCACCTCCCTATCTCGTCCTCGTGATCCAACACACCGTCCCCCTTGACTCTGCCAGTCTTTTGTCTCGGAAGGTTCTTACAGCACCATCTCTTGAAGTCGAGCAGCGCCCGCAAGTACTGAACCCGCATTGTTCCCGCCTCCAGCGTGTCGCGATGTCGCATACCCCAGGCCATCCTCAGCAATCTGTTCTTCTTGGCAAGCTCCTTGTTGATGTCGAAGGCGGCTTCAGCAAAATCGTCGCGCAGGATGTTTTGCAGGAAGTCGTCCTCTCGCTCGTCCGCTGCTAAAAAATCCTCGATCGTCAGGTACTCCATGTCGTTTTCTGGAAATGGGCCGATTGGCGGCAGCTGCTCTGCGGGCGAAGGCGGGAGTGGCGGCAGCTTAGGTGGAGGGTCCCCTTTGGTCCCTAGCGGTAGGGGGATGGTTGGGTCGGCGGGAATGTTTGCCCTAGCGGTGTCTACATCTACCTGCAGGTACGGTTCGTTCAGGTCAGGAATCACGCTGTTCACCGCTGGCGGCATGACACCTGCCATCTTGGCGGGTAAGGTTGTTCTAGTCGGCATCTAGTTGTCGCTGAGGTCTCGCGGCGGTAGGTGTTCCGCCGTCCAAAGGCGATACTGCACAAATGTTGCTGTGTAATGCCTTCGCGCAGTGTTGTCCGCCGTCTGAAAGGCCCTCACGGCCACCACTCGT